AATTGTGGATTTCGCGTCGTAATGAGTAATACGTTTTTGTGCCAGGATCATTGGGTGAGGGCGAGAGAGGCATATATATATATATATATATATATATAAAACTAATCAGCGTCTAAGTTGAAATGAATTATATGATTTTGAGACGAAAAAAATATATAGTTCGAGAGAATAATATGGATGTAGGTAAAATGAAGAGGCAACATTATGATTCAGCTCTTCAATATTATGTGGCAGCTTGATGCATCATTTGAACTCTCTTTGTTTTAAACTTATTTTAATAATCTTATCCAGGAATGAAGATAATATTTATTTGTCATGATTTGAGGGAATTGTATAACAATCCTCATCAAACATGTATTAATTTAGTTGATTCAAAGTTAATATAATTGGAACATCAAAATGACGTGAAAAGACGCATGTGGGAGAATCAGGGGTGCGATCGTGAACAAATATGTCCTCTACTGCTTTCTTTGCAACGTAAAAAAGGGAATAGTTTTGATTAGCTTTTCAAGTGATGGACATGGTTGATTATCAGTTAATCTACATTTATATCAACAACTAAAGTTTGAAAAAATAGACAAAAACGTCAAAAGAAATTAATCACTCTTTTTCCATCTCACAAATTGTTTCGTTTATTGCACTAAAATAGTCCGTTCAAGAAAAAAAAAAGTCCACGTTGAGTTTTGAGATTTGTACTAATTTTAATATAAACTAGATGCTTGGCCCAGGCAGATGCCCGGGCGCCCCCTCTACTTTAATTTTGTGTTAATAGATAAATAAATTTTTTATTTGAAAAAAATAAAATAGCTACAAATTTATTTTTTCCCTTTTTTAGCCAAAAATAAAAATAAAAATAAAAATCATCTGCAAAAGAAGAAAAAAATATTAAAAAATACACCGATGCAGAAATCATACAAAAGAATGTGAATTAATAAAAGGGATAAGTTTATGGACAAATTTAAATCCTATTTTAATTTGATTGATAAATGATAAGTGTTATGAGTTAAAATTGTGTAGATATTTTTGTAAATTAGCTTTTGTTTTTCCAGATAAGAAGTTTTTTTTTCTTTTAAAAAAGGATGACACGTGGCAGAATGGTTAAAGCAATATGGTGCATTTGGAGCCAAATTTTTTTAATAAAAAGTTGCCACATCAACATCATGTATTCTGCTTTAATAGGGTAAAAGGGATTTGAAAATTAAATGTGAACTATTTTTTTAGGACGGAAGGAATAAGATATAACAACACAAATGAAGAATAATAATAGCTAGATAACATAATACTTTTTTCAACCTAAAAAATTCAACATTTTTATTTGTAGATTATATTATTTTAAAATAATATTCCAATCATAATATGGATTATTATTATAATTTTTTTTAATAAAAAGAATACACCATATTTGTAACTGGCACATTTTAGAATGGATTTTCATACATTATCCCAATTATTAGTTAATAAACATGCAAGAATTAATGACAAACGGAGTGCCCAATTTGATTAACATTCGAAACGCAGTAGAATTGAAGAGTGCAAAATCACGTAGCAACCAAGCATCTAATTCTATGTTCTCGTAGGTGTTTTTAAGTTGCTACCTACAAGTGTATCGAAAATATGCACCTTGGGGACTGGAAATTTAGTCATTCAAATAGAAGCATAATAAACTCATTGTTCTCATTCAATGGTATTGGAAAAGTGAGAAATTTCTTTCCCCGTTTATTATTATACAGTAAATAAATAAAAGGAGAAGAAGGGGATTGCTTTTTCTGTCTTTTAACTTGTAGATCGGGTCTAAGAGGATACGGTTTATACAACAATTCTCAATTTATGTAACTCTTGTATAATCACTATTCTTAATCACGGTTTTATGTATTTTTGGATCAGTCAGGTTGATATATACTCCCTCCGTCCCATAATTATTGTCCTGTTTGAGTTTTCATTTTTAGTTTAAATTGTACTAAAAATGAGATTTCAAACTGGACAATAATTTTGGAACAGAGGGAGTATTAGATAAAAGAACATGAGTCAAACTTTACAAGAAATACTTTCATATATCAAAAGTGATATAGAGACTTGTTAATTATCATTACAATTTTGAAGGATATGGTGAGCTTTAAATCATAATGATCATAACAATGGTTGGGTTTGGGGAGTGGACTTCAAATTTCAATGACCAAAATTGCTTTTATTCTTGGAATCTTTTTGTTCAGCGTGACGGGTACGTACCTGCTGTCGTTGCTACTAAAATTTTCTCCTTAATCAGTTTCGATTTCTAAACACAATGATCGATGGATTTTGGTCTTGTTTTTCTACATACGTACTTCATCGTAATCTTCGTTTTTAGTGATGTTCGATGGAGGATCAATTTACACGAAATCCAAACTGAACAAAAACCCTCAATTGCCATCCCAACACTTATTTACCAATTTGAATTTTCATTTTAGTATTTTGGGACACAAAAAAAAAAAAAAAAACTGTTTAAACCTCTACCACTATTGAAAATGACTACGTCGTACGTGTATAAATTTTGAGTATACTCCAACAATTGATTAATACTCAGTGTATTAGAGAGTGCATTATTCTATTTTTTTCAACAACAAAAGAGAGTGCTAGCTCCTTGGTAATTAACTATGTTAATTAATGATCATCCTTGATGACATTTTGCTGTGAAACACGAAACACGAAAGATGTTTTAATTTATTTATTTCCATTTTTTTTTGCGTGATATAAGAATAAAACCAATGAAATAGGAAAAGGAAACATACATTTTTCATTCTTATTATTATCACTTCGGTAGAATGAACCATGGATGTAGATCGCAACAAACGCATGAAGAAAGATCGGAAAGTGATTTTTATGATGCTTTGCTTGTCAATTGTACCTTCGTTATATAATTATAATCTGTACGACACCAAGTCCTGAAGTTAATATTGAATATTCTTATGAAATTTAAAATAATGGTAGCCTGAACACACAGAAATGATACCAGACTCAAAGAAAAAAAGAAGAACAACTATTTCCATTTTTCAGTTGAGAACAATTTCAATTTTATGTATATACATTGATTTTGGATCGAAAAGAAAAACAAAATACAAATATAAAATGCGCGTAACTAAATTCTGAATTTTGTGTTCCATAGAAGATAATAATTTGTTTTCGTGACAGACATGTTCACTTAATTGTCATGTTTATTAGTAAAGTTCGAGTATAAGGATACAAATTTACTTCAAGCTTAAAATTATACTTGATATAAGGTTTAGAATATTCGCTGTCCTATTTTTTCTTTATTATTAATAGAATTGTTTTTTTTAAAACAATAAATTGTCAAGTTTATTAGTACTTTTTTTTTTTTTTTAGAGAAAACCTAAGCATATACTATAAAACATCTTCCAATATACTTTCCCGATTCCTTTTTAAATAAACAAAAAAAATACAAAAACTTCCCCATATTCCTCTAATAAATTGTGCATGGTGGGCAAAAATTGAAATGTGTTTGTGTGTGTGTCTATATATATAATATATATCGGGATACGAAACTCGTAAAATATAATGCGGCATCCACAAATCGATTCTTGAAAACATGAAATTAAGAGTTCATCATCCGATATTCCGATACTAGAATTAATGCTCTCAAGAAATTTTCTTGCTCTAGCAAGTGGGGAAGGGAAGCTGCTCAAAGAAATCATTTGAAACGTTTTCTCAGGTAGAGATTTTCTCTAGTTAAAATTCTCCGCTATAGTACTGTGTGTAAAGCTATAAAAGAAGGCATCTGGTAAATAAAGTGTTAAATGTGATAAACATGTCTTGTGTTATGTCAGCTCGAATACAGCAAATTACACAAAAACAAATTGGGCCAAAAGTTCAGGAATCAAGAACTGAAGAAACTGGCGATGAAATGAAACCACCTGAACAGTTTTAATATATACAGTTTAAGTAAGGATCAGGCCTGAATGAATACTATATAGAGGACCCTTTAGCTATATATATATATATATATATTATATATATTCTCAGCTCATCTCAGCATTAATTTACACAGCATTGCTTGCTCAAGCGATGGATTCGCCCGGGAATGAAATTTTGCCCCAGATTAATTAATCAAACACCTTGGTCGGAATTTGATCTGTTTTTCCTTGAGAAAATTTGGAGAATGAATAGATAATACATTCAAATGATCAGTAATGTCGTGTGCTGAGGTTGAGTAAGTAGGGAAGCACAACTACACATGATCAAGATAAAATGCCTTTATTTCTTACACAACCATTTCATACAGTAGTTTTATTGAAAATTGAGTAAATATAGTATTTCCTCCCATTCTGAATATAAGGTATTTTGATTTGTTCTAAGTTTAACCTAGTACGCATTTTTCATTGACAAAAAAAACCTTAAAAATATTTCATAACAATCAAGAAACACATTTAAGGTTTTTTTTGTCAATTAAAAATATTAAATTTAGGAGAAATCAAAATGCGTTATATTAAGGAAACGAAGGAGTATAGTTCACGTATGACCCTTTTTAGCTACTACACTATTGGCACTCAATCTGGCTCACCATGTTTCAGGTTTTGCAATAAAAAAACTCGATAAGATTTTAGCAACTTCAGCATAGGTATGGAAGAGAGCCTAAACTGGTAGTAACTAGTAAGTGACACACAAAATTAAAGCTATTTACTACTCTTAAAAATATTTTTTGAAATTTTCACTCAATTATATTACTTTCGTTCCAACAAAATATATTAGTCTAGTTTATCATATTAACTTAGTTTAGTAATGTGGCATGGATTTCGGGAGTGGAGAGTAACAATAACTTAATCCATTCATCTGGTCTTTATTATAAAATATTTTAATTTCTTTTAATTTTTATTTATCATATTTTTCTAATTAGAAATGAAATCTTAAAAATACTTTTTACATATAATGATTAAAAAAGCATAATAAATGTAAAAATATATTATATTTTTAAAAGTTTTATTTTTAGTCATCGAGAGAACACAAAGAACAAAAGATGGTATATATTTTGGTTTCCTCTACACCGTTTTAAAAAATTTCTCACATAGCGTTTGAGCCAAATTTTAACAAAATCTGCCGCCACCTCCCCTGCCGCCCCCACACCACCGCAGCCAGCGGCCGCCAATTACCAGAAATTCAATTAATTCAGTCGTCGTTTCCCTATTCTCTATCATTTTCAGGTAAAAAGCTCTCGTATGCATAATATAGTTCCAGTAACTCTTCACTCTCATTTTTCTAATTGCTTTACTTCCGTCTTCTCTTTCCCCTTTTCAATCATTCTGTTTTTCTTTTGAACATTTTGTTTTCCGTTATTGAACTAGAAAGACTGTTTCTTTCCTTTGCTTAGCACTTCTCCCGTGGTGGGATTTTTGGATGGCTTCTTAATTCGTCTCTCGGAGACTTGGGACTCACTGTTTAGTGAACTAAAGTGGAAGGGCCCAAAAGCTTTTTGATTAAATTACCATGAGAAGTGTTTCTACCATTAGGTCAGCTTCATCTAGAAAAATCTTCAGAAATAGTCAGTTTTTTGGAATAAAAACTATCTCCTCCGTAGTTCAGTTTAGTTCACACGATTCGCACTCAACTTCGGATGAACAAATATCAGAGACTGGAAAGAGTGAAGATATTGGTGATCAGTATTTGGAGCTAAATTCGTCTAGGGTCTTAGAGTTTCTCAAGAAGCTGAAAAAAGAACCCATTTATGCGGTTAGTTTCTTTGCTCAATTGAGGGAGCAGAGGTTTAGGCCTGACCTTAGAACTTATGTGGCCATGCTTTGGATTTTCTGTTATTGTGGTATGGACAGAAAATTGCGCTCTGTACTACGCGAGGTGATTACGTTGAAAAGAGAGGGTTTGGGGTTTGATGTTTGGGATGTGTTTGATGCATTGGTGGAAGGAGTTAATGCTGTAGGGTTAAAGTTGTTCTCTCGGGTTCTTGATGCCATGATTAAGGCATTTGCTAGTGAGTCCATGTTTGGCGAGGCAACTAAATTTTTGTACGAGATTAAAAAGCGTGGTTTTGGTATCTCTATATTTTCATTGAATTACCTTATGAATCGGTTGATTGAATGTGGAGACGCGGATAGAGCAATTCTCATTTATAATCATTTGGAGAAGCTAGGCTTGACTCCAAATGTTTACACATATGGGATTGTGGTTAAGGCGTTTTGTAGGAAACGAAATTTCGAAGAAGCCTTGACTGTGTTTAGTAAATTGGGAAAAGCTCCAAATATCTGCACTTTTACTATTCTTCTTGAAGGGCTTTGTTCACAAGGACTCTCTGTATCCGGTTATAACATATTACTCGCACGTAGAAGAGATAATTTGACTATTGATGCATGTGCATATGCCGTGGTCATCCGCGGCTTTGTTAAGGAAAAGAAACTAAAAGAAGCAGAGCATCTGTTGCTTGATATGAATGAGGATGGACCGATGCCGGATGAATGCTGTTACGGTGCCATAATTCAAGGTTATTGTCAGGCTGGAGATTATATCGAAGCTCTGGATTTGCATAGTAAAATGACATCTAGAAATATAAAAACTAATTGTAAGATTGCGAGCTTCATTCTTCAATGTTTGTGTCAACTAGGCAAGTTTAAAGAGGTAAAAAGCCAGTTTGGACACTTCCAAAAGTCGGGAATTTACCTTGATAAAGTTGTCTATAATATTGTAATTGACGCGTTATGTAAACTCGGAAAAGTTGATATGGCAATGACAAAGCTAAATGAAATGAAGGGTAAGGGGATTGTTCCCGATGTTGTAACCTATACAACCTTGATTAATGGATGTATTCTGAATGGGAAACTCTTTGAGGCTGCAGATTTACTCAAGAATATGGAGCAAAATGAATTGAAACCAGATTTGATAACCTGTGATGTTCTTGCTGGTGCATTTTCTAGAAATGGGGGATTAGATGGCGCACTTAAAGTTCTGAATTTCATGGGAAGCCAAGGTATAGAGCCTAGCTACATAACATTTAATGTGATCATAAAAAAGCTGTTTGCCATTGGGAAGGTGAGGGAATCTGAACGGTTTTTTGACTGCTTGGAGATAAAAGATGAAAGAAATTACTCTGCCATGATTGACGGTTATTGTGAATCGAACAACACAGAAAAGGCCTGTGATCTCTTTGTTTGGCTTTTGGGGCTAGGAATTGCAGTAAATAGAAGTTCTCGTCTAAAACTTTTAGACACCCTTGTCATGGAAGGTGAACATGACAAAGTCGTGATGATGTCTGATGCCCTGCTGTATTCAGGTGACGGGCCTTCTCAGAAATTGTTTACTAAAGTCATTTCTGCTCTCTGTAGCTTTGGAAAGATGAAGAAGGCTCATTTGGTGTTTGATAGTCTTATCCCTTATGGTTTCAATCGAGACGTAATTATTTACACAATAATGTTGAATGGGTACTGTAAGGTGAATCATTTGAAGGAAGCTTCAGCTCTTTTTAATGATATGAAAGAAAGGGGTATAGCTCCTGATATTACCGCATACACCGTCTTGCTTGATGGGTCCTCCAAAAGTAATATTGTTTGGCAGAAGATGTCGGGAAGCAAAGGAGAAAGGATTAGTACTTCGTCTCTTTTGGCGGACATGTCAAAATTGGGTTTAGAAGGTGATGTTGCTAGCTATACGGCCTTGATTGATAGTCACTGTAAGACAGGCAATCTGGAGGAGGCTATTACTCTTTTCAATGAAATGATAGATCTTCATCTAGCACCTAATATTAAAACTTATACAGCTCTACTGAACGGCTACAGTAAGAGCAGACATGTTAAGAAAGATGTAACAATTAATGGGTTGACTTTTAAGAGAAAAGTACGAAATGACAAGACCACTTATACCTTACATCACCAAGGAATCTTAACGGCCAAGATAGAGCAGTTCCGGACATAAAAAGATGAGTGGATTTCTTCACAGGTATGTTATTTGGACTTGAGAATTATCATTGTTAATTTGTGCTTAATTGCCGCTTTAATGGGTCTTTAACCGCATGCTTTGTCTACAGTTCTTTTTGTTGTGAAAACCTCATGCTTTATTTGTGTATTGGGGGGTGATAGTTATGAAGGTGAGGTGGACCAGATGGTTGTATTAGAAAAGGCTATTCTTTCATCTGATTCTTTTTATAGACATGGAGATTAACATGGTGGGAGATTAACATGTTTGGTTGGGTGATAAGGTTGGGGGATTGTTGTTACCGGGAGGCCGGGGGTTTTCATCCTCCAGGGGTTATCACTGTTTTTTCCAATTTTTCCTCCTTTTTTTTAATTTTTTTTTAACTCGAGGAATAATGTTTCTGGTTGCTTTTTGTTGCGGGATTTATGAATACCATGTTTATATTAAGATGATTGACATTTCCCTCTTGATTGATGACTATGGCTTGAGTTTTCAGTGGTTTAAGTCTCCCATTGCGAGCACAATGATTACAGCTTCTTCATGGTTACAGTGATAAAATAGTGGATCTTTTGATTCTCCCCGACTATTTTTCTGGGATGAAGGGAGTATTATTCTTCTTTATTTCTGGATTTGCTGCAGTTATAATTTTCTTGCTGGGGTATCATGTGGGTATTTTTTAAGCTAGGGTTACTGTTAGTTATTTCACATTACTCTTCCTAACCTGCATCGTCCCTTCTTTTAGACTGGAAGAAGTGCTATTATAGACTGCTGCATTCGGCTTGCAAAAAATGGGAGACAGAGACATGATAGGAGAGTAAGCTCCTAATTTATATTGGTAATCCCCCTAAAGTTATGTTTCTTTCTTCTTTTATTTATTTATTTTTTTTCCCCGTTGCTATAACTGGATCAATTTTGCGCTGAAGTGTTCTTCGTTTTCACCTTATACATTACTTCCAAGCATAATGATCAGCTGAAGGTGTGTCAACTTTGATATATCTTAGGACTCAAATGTTTGAATGTTACTTTGTTCTGTTCTGTGTTTCACTTTTAGTTGGGAGAGCTGTTCAGAAGAAGCAGCAAATCGGATCGAACCTGAGCAATAAGTTGCACTAAACCTTAAGGATATACAGCTATAATTGGACAGCCCTTCAGGTAACTGTGAAATCACTATAATGGTGCAGTAAATTAGGAATAGATTTAATGAAATATTAATTAGAGATTTTGAATTTGTTTTCTTGGCTGATTACACTGCTATAGTTTAGGGATATGGGAATAGCCTTTCTATATATATATCTTGTAGGATCTCTATATAGCTAGAGCTATTGTACAGAGTTTCAATATACAAAAATACAGAAAATACTTCTCTCTTTAGTAACTTAAGAGTATTTATAATCCTTAGAAAAGATCTTTTCTTTTTTAATCATTAATTTCACAGTTGTTTCTGTTAACTATATTTTTCTTGGTTATATTCATGAACCATGACTCTGTGGTATTAGATCAGTTTTGTCTTAATTATTGTGGCGATGATTGGACTAAAATTTATTTTTCTTGACATTCTGGTTCTGACTGAAGCTGGACACTGCTTGTTTTAGGATGTGATGTTGTGTATGAAGAAGTATATGTTTGTCTCTTTCTCTGTGGGGAATTTGTCTAACTCTGTGTGGGATGTTTGTGAGGGCGAGGCGCAAGTTTTGTTGTAGAGAGAATGTGCTTGGATGGTGGTCTCTTATTTAGATCATTTTTTTACAGATTAACTAATTCCAAGAGGGCAGCACATAAAAGGTACATGGATGGGGACTTCTTTGACATCAACGCGGGTTGATGCAGTTGTTGGTTTTATATCCAAAAGCCAATTAATATTAGGATTAGAATTTATATTTATTGCCAACTTGTTTTAGGAACCTAAAGGGTCAACACACATCTTATGCTTTTGCACCTTTATCATGGAAGATTTGTGGTTGTCAAAATGGCAAGACGTGAAACTTTTACTGCTTTACAGAGCTTATAGTTGCTTGAAACTGATCAATGCAACAACTGCTACTGTCTTTAGTTCTAAATGTGGGGTTTTCGTTTCATCTTCTCTGGGCCAAGGAATGAGATCTCTCATGAAAGATTGATCTCTTTGAATTCAACTTATTGTTGAATCCGCGGTTGGTGACATCTCTTGGAACTTAGAGATGGTTAGTGATAAAACGGATCTTTTGGCACTTATAGAAGGTAATTTCCTGCTCTTCGTAAACCTTAATCATCTATTATGATGGAGGTGATTGTTTCTCTGTGTCTGGTTGGTTTTCGTCTGATTGTTTCAACAATGACTAATTATATCAAACTGATGAATCATTCTCAGATCTTCTAATTTACTAAAAGAAAAAAGCAAATCGAAGAACATATCTCTAAAATTGATGAACAAACATCGTTAATTGAGTGAATATACCTTAGATCTACCTAACCCAAACAAAAAAACCACACCAATGATTGAAGAGAGTAGTTGTATTACCTCGCTTCCCCTTCATCCTCCGATTTGCTCATATTCGGTTCGGAATCCTCAGCCATAGGCATCTACATGAATATTTTAAGAAAAAAAAACATTCATCAAACCAGAATCAAACAACAATGGATAAACACAAAAAAATCGATGAATTTGACCAGAATACACCTTAATCCTCATCTTCAGTATTGTAACTTGTAATCAGAATTACCATTTTTTATGAACGATTCGATTCAGACTTCGGAAGTCCCGCCGACGGTAGCTTCTCTGAATGTATCGTCGTATGATTGATTTTTTGGGGTTTCGTTTTTTTTTTATTTGGGGAGTAATGGAATAGATCGAATGGAATGTTGGATCATCAATAATGGCTGAAAATTAGTAGATAATGGTGGTTATCAAGATTTGAAAATAGAAAAATCGCGCATAAAGGGGTATTAAATGGGCGCGTGTTTTTCACTCGGGTGGCAGTGACGTAATTTTTGGAAGTCCCCATTTTTGTAGGTGCGTGTATATAAAACTGGGTACATCTTCCTAGGTATACCCAGGATCTCTATATTATAATTGGCTGCACCACATCAGCAACTATGATTTGGTGCAGCAATCCAATACTTATTTGACACGTGTAAGTTTTTAATTTCCACAATAATTTTTCAAAAAAATTATTTTCCTTTAACCGGTGCCCTCATCATTATCAAATTTTACACAGTGTATATCTCCAACCATAATTTACGCAGTATCATCGGACGTCGGCAGTGAAGCAATTTCATTGATGATCTATCAGGGGAGAACTATTTCACTAATTTTGTTTTAAATGAATAATCGTCATTCCTCTAATTCCGCCACCGCCCGCCGGACCGGCGATCTGGAAGATTCTTGAATTTTTCCGCAATACACAAGGAACAGAGCATTGAAATAGGAACAACGGTTAAGAAAATGAAAAGGGTGTACGTTTGCGGTGGATCTGGTGATTTAAGTAAAAAAAATTGAAAAAGAAATGGGGACATGATTCTTGTCTTCTGTGAACAAAAGAAACAATCAAAATCTCAAAGAAGAAGAGGTGAATTTAATGCAACAGAGCAAATAATGAAGAAGTGAATTTTCAATTCCTCTAATCTGGGAGGGACGACGAAGAAGGTTTAGAAAAGATGGACAGATGATGGTCTTTTGTCTTGGCTTTATTCACTCTAAATCATCCACCGCCCGTTCATCTTTTTTCAGTTTTTATTCCGGCATCGATGGCCGGCGTAGTGGCTTATTTATTGATTAATAATGTTGGACCTTCCGATTTTGGCGAAGCAGTTGAAATCAGAATTTACAATATATATATATATATATGTTTATTTTACACGTGTCAAATAAGTATTGGGTTGCTGCACCAAATCATAGTTGCTGATGTGGTGCAGTGGCTCCATGGAATAATTTCTCCTGTATCCGAGCACCATGCCCCTTCCTATTTTTTGCAATACTAGTCCTTATTATACTTTTTTTCTCAATTTTTCTATATTTTGCAAATTTAGTCCCTGTTACTTTTTTTTTCTCTCTCCTCTTAAAAAATATCTCTAATCTTCAATATAACATATCTCCCAATCCGTAAAGAATTTGTGAACGAATTATATATGAAATTTATAATACTCGATGAGAGAGTGCATTGGTTTAAAAAATGCCTAGAAAAAGGAGTAGATAGATCTATTTTTTTTTTTTGGTAAAGCAAAATACGGAGATCGGATTTACAAAATCTGATTTAATAAAATAATATTTTTTTTCAAAAAATACATGTAAAAAATATGAAATGAAGGTCAACTAATGAACAGTGTAGAGTCGGATTTTAAGAATCCGACCTTCTTTATGCTTAAAAAATAAATATAGGTGGGAGATTTGAAAATTAATAACAGTAGAGGGTCGGATTTACAAATTCGACCTTATTTCAAAATACATAAAAGTAGATATCGGCATTGAATGGATGTTATTGGCGGGCAGAAGGTAGGATTCTTGAAATCCGAGTTGATATGTAAATCGGATTTTGAAAATCCGACCTTACTTAAAAACTCAGATTTCAGAAATCCGACCTTATTGTGTTATAATGGGACGACAAAAAACACTATTCACATATCGGGATTTTTGTGAAGGAGGCTGTTGGAGGTGCAATTTCGCATTGGACCGACAACCATTCATGGGTCCGATAAATATTTCTTTATGGCTTATTGGGCCGGCTAAAAGCCCTAACAATGGCCCAAGCCCATCATTGAAATATTTATTCTCTATCTATATATACCCCATTTTTGGTGGTGAAGAGTAAGCTGATTTTTACTCCCTTCCTAACTCACATGTTTTATTTCTATCACTCCTTGGACTGACTTGCTCGTCGGAGTGCCAACCCTTGTTTTGCAGGTCTTAGGTCCATAGACACCGTTGACCCTCGTCCTAACGGATTTCACCCTCGACAAACGGCACCGTCTGTGAGAACATCATGTTCCTGGTTGAAGGTGAATCCAAAGTCTCTGTGTCTATAGATCTTGCCTAAGAAAAAGGGATTGTGAGCCGCAAGCGTGGGTTTCTGAATCTCACTTACCATTCTGGTTTTTGGGAGTTTGAGTTGCATCCTTAAAAGTTGATCGGGCAAGCTCTTGGGCAAAAACCCTTCTGCCTGCATAAAGAAGAGAAGCTTCCTGGGGCAGGGTTTTTGACCTCCTTGTTTCAATTTTAATTAAAATTAATTAAACCCCATTCGTGAGGAGCTCCGCCCTTTGAGCTCCTGGTCGTGGACTCGGCCGCTTTCTTTCCTCTTTCGTGAAGGCCAAGCTTGACGTCCACGGCCAAATCATGTCAGCTTTCGCCATCATCAAACCTGAAGCCATCGATGGTAGCGGCGGTTTCAAGTCCCGTGGATGTTCCTGCCAGCAGCCGGAGTTCTCGTCGAAGCAATCCGGGTTCAGTCACAAAGCAAGATCGAAGTCGGAAGTCTTCTCGAGCATCAACCTCGGCTATAGCTTGGTCTCGAAGCAACACTGGCCACAAAAGTGGCGGCCTCGAAAACAAGTCGCGTCCGAGTCTCTTCTCCGACGTCGGGCGGCAGCCTTCTCGATGCGGAACTCGGATTCCGCCTCCCGTGATTCGTCTTCGTCTTCGTCTTCGTCTCTTTGAAACCGCGAAACAGCGGCAACCAAATTTGAAATCATAAAGTTGAAGTCATCTTCAGCACCCGGTGGTCCATCTTCCAAGTCATAGCCGGCGCTTTGACCAAAAAACCATTACCGACGAAGTCATAGGAACCATTCATTACCGGCGAAGTCTTCAAAAAAAAAACCAAAGCTGTCATCCATAGAAACGGAGGATTCCCCGTCCAAAGCCACCATCGGACGCGGGAGTTCTCACCATCGGACGCGTGGGAGTTCTCACCATTGGACGTTCTGGATTTCAGCGTCGTCGTTGGCAGAAACGGAGGACGGCGGCGGCCTGCTTCACCCGCGATCATCCTCGGTGTCTTTCGGTTTCCGATCCCAGCTTCGGTTTTGGCTTTAGCTCGTGAGTTGGCATCAATCCATCTTCGACGGAATGCAGCCGGCGCTTCGATTCTAGCCTCAGTTTTGTATCCCGATTCGAAGCCAGGAGAGGGGGGAACCTTGAGTTCCTACGTCGGCCTTTTTCTGGGCGCCTCCATCCGGAACGACGCCTGAAGACCGACCCCGAAGGCCGTGGCACCGACAGTCAATGATTCCGGCGTCGGCCTCCGTCCATGCCTGAAGCTCCCGGTCGAAGAAGAAGAAGAAGGAATGGACGACGGGCGGGAAAAAGGCCAGAATTGCAGAAAATTCAAAATTTTGCAATTAGGTCCCTGTTATTTCAAACATTTACAAATTGGCCCCAAATGTTAAAAAATTACCAAATCGACCCTGAAGTTTGAAAACGGGGCAATCAGACCCCTGACGTAGATTTTGGGGTCCATCCGGGAGCTTTACAAGCCAAATGTAAGGATCTCGTGCATCATTGGGAGCTCTCCAAGACTATAGCCCCTCACCACAACCAAGATAAGTGTTCTTAACCACTTTATCACCATTCGAGAGTCCATTTTCTTAAATAATTCTATTTGGGGGGAGGAGTTGGATATGTGGTTATACATATTTCCTCCTTGCTACTTGATTATAAATTCAATCAAATGCTTAAAGCGACATAGCCAATATAAATACACCATTATGGCATGACATATAGAGAATAGAGCTATCATAGTTCATACACTCTTTGTGCTTTCGAATGTGGTTCGTACTTGACTATGTTCTATGTGCCCCCTTACCCTCGGAAATATGAGGAAAAGAAAATAAAACTATTTAAGAAAATATATACTTGTTCTTGGGTAATATATCTATGCTTGGTGGTTTAAAAAGGAGGGTTGTTTTTTGAAAATTTGGTCCGAAGACGATCTACCCTTCACTTTGAAAAACCATTCTGAAAATTAGATATAATATCCTTTCCAAAGTTTTGAGTTATTGAACAGGTGGCACGTCTTTTATCTTGAACACTCGCATTCGTGTTGTAAACAAAGATGTAATCCTTCTCTCGAAACTTTGTTAACAAGTGTTCGGGGTCAGTATATAATACTCTTAATTGCCTTTGTGTGTACTAAGAACAAAGGAATAACCTCTTTGCAAAACCTGGACGCCATGTAGGGCTTCACGAATCCGAGGATGTCCACATGTCCGAGGATGCCATCCCAGCCCGTGGATGCCTACATGTCCGAAGATGAAGGCTCATCAATCCGAGGACGAAGGCACCAGGATTCAGCAAAGCCCGTCT